AAAACCGAGAAAAATCTAATGGATATTGTTATTTGGGAGCATCTCTTCGTATCCTCTTTTATACAACTAGCTCGGGTCCCCGGCGTTGTTTTGGACACGAAGGCCACATCTTCACTATGCGTTATCTTCACTACACAACCATCATCACTATATACTGTCTCCATCTCTGTCCCACTGGAGCAGGACGGTAGAGCGACAGTCTCCCTTCATGCAGGTCGGCGTTCAATCCCCGACCGTCAAAGTGGTAGGGCACCATATTCCATCTTTCCCTCCCCCCCCCCTTCTCCCCATCCCATCCCAAATCCTTATCCTTATCCTGATCCCTTCCAAGTAGTCGTGGTGGCTTGGCGCTTTCCCTATGTCACCTTCACTGTGCACAACCTTCATACTTGCAGCCAGCTGTACTGACACCAAACAGGTCAGTTAACCTGCAGAGACAAGAATCCGGAGCTGCAGTTAACGCAGGATATTCTATAATTGGAGACTCTCAAACGGGTGCTCAACTTTACCAATAAAGGTGCTAGCCGTTCAAAAGGCTTTGGAACATGCTCTTGCTGAACACCGGCAACACGCTATCATACGACACAATTACAAACGTAATGTAATTAATGCAAACGCTCAAACTTCAAGGTCGTCAGATACCTGTCAACTGGGTGCCAAGCCGTGTAGGAATATCAGGGAATGAAGAACATTGCAGATGAAACAGCAAAACTTGCAACAACTAAGAGAAGGAATGTAGACATTTACATAACAAAGAGTCTAGGCATAGATTACGAAAGTAACTAGAGCGATAGAGCAAAAAAGACTACGTACAGTGACCATAACTCAATATATCAAGGGCTAACCCTGACACTCCTATGTCCGTCCCGACACCGGTCGCTGTGGGGTCTAATTGGGGCTACTCCCAAAACTACGGGATCACCATAGCCCGTGCTGTGGTGATTATATATAATATATATGATAATGAAATAATAGGAATATGAAAGGGTGAGTTAGTGGACAGTTAGAATAATGTGGGTGTTCGTAGCGTCGACCAGACCACACACTAGAAGATGAAGGGACGACCAGACCACACACTAGAAGATGAAGGGACGTTTCGGTCCGTCCTGGACCATTCTCAAGTCGATTGTCGACTTGAGAATCGCCCAGGACGGACCGAAACGTCGTCGTCCCTTCACCTTCTAGTGTGTGGTCTGGTCAACATACTTTAGCCACGTTATTGTGACTCATCGCCTGCATGTTCCTAGCGTCCTTGTGCACGGTATAACCACAATCAGGGCAGCAGCCCGGGCCCGAGGCTCTAAACTAGCAGGTTTATTACCCCCTGAAGGAGTGTAGCTCAGCGCTTATTGCTGGCCGTGTCGACGTATTTTGTGCGAGAGAGCAGCGGGAGGATATACCCAGGTCACGCAGCCTCTCTCAGACGCAGTGACACGGCACTAACGCAACTCTTCCCGCCCCGTTCCACTCCACTCTGACCCGCATGCGTGCCCGCCGACGTCCTCATGCTGCGCATTCTTGCCTCGGTGATCTGTTCGCTTTGTTGCGTCTTGTACACGTGCGTCCGCGCGTACATGCACGCACGTTGAGTTAATGAGGGGCATTGATGTCCAGAAACACTTCAAGATAAATCGAAGAAAAATCTGTGCACTATTTCACTATCAGAGCTGGGCTGAAAGTGGCAGGTGCAGTTCGATGTTAATGAACACAAATTCCTGGACTTGCGAAGTGACAGTGTCACCGTTTACCCAGTATATGGAGCATATTTGGGCATATCGAGATACAAAAAGGTACTCTTGAGTCATGCTTGACTGTGACTTTTGGAACCCCAGGAAGCAGAGAAGGTTTAGCCAAATTTTAGTCACCAATTTACAGCATTGACAATGATTCACTGTAGAAAATCCATCGTACGATTCATTGTAAACATTTCCCTCTCTTTCCACCTTGTCAATCCCTCTTTAAGTATTTTATACGTCAGTACCTTGTCTCCCCTCTCCCTTCTCCTTTCTAACGTGGTCAGGTTTAGTTCCTTCAGTCTGTCTTCGTACCTCATCCCTCGCAGCTCTGGGACGAGTCTCGTTGCAAACTTTTGCACCTTGGGGAGTTATATGTTATATTATGTGATTTTTAAGATGGGGCTCCACGTTGGGGCGGCATACTTTAAGACAGGTCTCACATATGCGGTATATAGTGATCTAAATGACACACACTCACACATGAAATTCTTGCGCGCGCGCGTGTGTGTGTGTGTGTGTGTACTCACCAAATTGTGCTTGCGGGGGTTGAGCTCTGGCTCTTTGGTCTCGCCTCTCAACCGTAAATCAACAGGTGTAAAGGTTCCTGAGCCTGTTGGGCTCTATCATATCTACATATGTGTGTGTGCGTGTGTACTCACCTAATTGTACTCACCTAATTGTGCTTGCGGGGGTTGAGCTCTGGCTCTTTGGTCCCGCCTCTCAACCGTCAATCAACTGGTGTACAGATTCCTGAGCCTATTGGGCTCTATCATATCTACATTTGAAACTGTGAATGGAGTCAGCCTCCACCACATCACTTCCTAATGCATTCCATTTGCTAACTACTCTGACACTGAAAAAGTTCTTTCTAACGTCTCTGTGGCTCATTTGGGTACTCAGCTTCCACCTGTGTCCCCTTGTTCGCGTCCCACCAGTGTTGAAAAGTTCGTCCTTGTTTACCCGGTCGATTCCCCTGAGGATTTTGTAGGTTGTGATCATGTCCCCCCTTACTCTTCTGTCTTCCAGTGTCGTGAGGTGCATTTCCCGCAGCCTTTCCTCATAACTCATGCCTCTTAGTTCTGGGACTAGTCTAGTAGCATACCTTTGGACTTTTTCCAGCTTCGTCTTGTGCTTGACAAGGTACGGGCTCCATGCTGGGGCCGCATACTCCAGGATTGGTCTTACATATGTGGTGTACAAGATTCTGAATGATTCCTTACACAGGTTCCTGAACGCCGTTCTGATGTTAGCCAGCCTCGCATATGCCGCAGACGTTATTCTCTTTATGTGGGCTTCAGGAGACAGGTTTGGTGTGATATCAACTCCTAGATCTTTCTCTCTGTCTGTTTCATTAAGTACTTCATCTCCTATTCTGTATCCTGTGCCTGGCCTCCTGTTTCCACTGCCTAGTTTCATTACTTTGCATTTACTCGGGTTGAACTTCAACAGCCATTTGTTGGACCATTCACTCAGTCTATCCAGGTCATCTTGTAGCCTCCTACTATCATCCTCTGTTTCAATCCTCCTCATAATTTTTGCATCGTCGGCAAACATTGAGAGGAACGAATCTATACCCTCTGGGAGATCATTTACATATACCAGAAACAGTATAGGTCCAAGGACTGACCCCTGCGGGACTCCACTTGTGACGTCACGCCAATCTGAGACCTCACCCCTCACACAGACTCGTTGTCTCCTGTTGCTTAGGTATTCCTCTATCCACCGGAGTACCTTCCCTCTCACTCCAGCCTGCATCTCCAACTTTCGCACTAGCCTCTTGTGTGGCACTGTATCAAAGGCTTTCTGACAATCCAAAAATATGCAGTCTGCCCACCCTTCTCTTTCTTGCCTTATTTTTGTTGCCTGGTCGTAGAATTCAAGTAACCCTGTGAGGCAGGACCTGCCATCCCTGAACCCATGTTGATGCTGTGTTACAAAGTTCCTTCGCTCCAGATGCTCCACTAGTTTTTTTCGCACAATCTTCTCCATCAGCTTGCATGGTATGCAGGTTAGGGACACTGGCCTGTAGTTCAGTGCCTCCTGTCTATCCCCTTTCTTGTATATCGGGACTACGTTAGCTGCTTTCCAAGTATCTGGCAGTTCCCCTGTTGCCAGTGATTTGTTATACACTATGGAGAGTGGTAGGCTCAGTTCTCTTGCTCCTTCCTTTAGAACCCAAGGGGAGATTCCATCTGGGCCTATAGCCTTCGTCACGTCCAACTCTAGTAAACACTTCCTTACTTCCCCACTGGTAATCTCAAACTCTTCCAGTGGTTCCTGGTTAGCTATTCCCTCACTTACCTCTGGAATTTCTCCTTGTTCTAAGGTGAAGACCTCCTGGAATTTCTTATTCAATTCCTCACACACTTCCTTGTCATTTGGAAGTGTGTGTGTGTGTGTGTGTGTGTGTGTGTGTGTGTGTGTGTGTGTGTGTGTGTGTGTGTGTGTGTGTGTGTGTGTGTGTGTGTGTGTGTGTGTGTATGTGTGTGCTTATCTACACGTCGGTGCGTCCTGTGTGTACCAATTTCCGAGAGAATTGAGTTCCACTGCAATTTTAACGTTGGCCCAAGAGTTGCCTTGTAATTTTGTTCATTAAACAAGGCGGCTGGAGAAATGCTGTTTACCTGTGGTGGCATGTTTCCTTTTTCACGTGCTCGTGCAAAAGGACTTCGAGTAAAAATTTATTGTACGTAGCTCGTACTACTGTGCACGCTGTCTTCCTCAAATACGTAGAAGTTGCACCAGTAACAGTAGCAGCGATACACACAGAGATCACACTAACGCGATGCATCAAATGAACTTCGGTTTCAACTCTTTTTTAACCCTGTCGTAGCTCAGTCGATTAAGGCAGTGTCTGGGATGCTCCCGGACGCAGGTTCGAATCCTCGTCACGGCCCTTGTGGATTTGTTCATTAGCAGTAATAATTGCATCAGTCCCCCCCCCCCCTTACAGCAGCAGTAGCTGCAATGACAGCTACAGCAACATTAATGATGACGTATATGAAGAGAATTGAAGTACAAAGGGAACACAAATAAGGTTTTAAATATATTAACACAAGATAGAATACACAACAGTTCATTTCAACTTGAAGTGTTTAGATTAAGGGGAGACCTGGGTAAATACTGGTCTGGACTCAAGGTTGTTGTTTTATTGGACACATTTCTGGGCAACGTAATGAACGTGGGATGTCTGGAGTGTTTCGAGTGTAGGTTAGACATACTAATGACGTTGTTCTTTGCAGTTTATTATTTTCTTATATTCTCATGCTAGCACCAGAAGCCTCAGCAAACAGCAGGAGCCTCAGTGCAACAGCAGGAGCCTCAGTGCAACAGCAGGAGCCTCAGTGCAACAGCAGGAGTCTCATTGCAACAGCAGGAGCCTCAGTGCAACAGCAGGAGCCTCAGTGCAACAGCAGGAGCCTCAGTGCAACAGCAGGAGCCTCAGTGCAACAGCAGGAGCCTCAGTGCAACAGCAGGAGCCTCAGTGCAACAGCAGGAGCCTCAGTGCAACAGCAGGAGCCTCAGTGCAACAGCAGGAGCCTCCACACAACAGCAGGAGCCTCCACACAACAGCAGGAGCCTCAGTGCAAGAGCAGGAGCCTCAGTACAACAGCAGGAGCCTCCACACAACAGCAGGAACCTCTACACAACAGCAGGAGCCTCAGTACAACAGCAGGAGCCTCCACACAACAGCAGGAGCCTCTACACAACAGCAGGAGCCTCAGTGCAACAGCAGGAGCCTCCACACAACAGCAGGAGCCTCAGTGCAACAGCAGGAGCCTCCACACAACAGCAGGAGCCTCTACACAACAGCAGGAGCCTCAGTGCAACAGCAGGAGCCTCCACACAACAGCAGGAGCCTCAGTGCAACAGCAGGAGCCTCCACACAACAGCAGGAGCCTCAGTGCAACAGCAGGAGCCTCCACACAACAGCAGGAGTCTCAGTGCAACAGCAGGAGCCTCAATACAACAGCAGGAGTCTTAATACAACAGCAGGAGTCTCAGCGCAACAGCAGGAGCCTCCACACAACAGCAGGAGCCTCAATACAACAGCAGGAGCCTCCACACAACAGCAGGAGCTTCCACACAACAGCATGAGCCTCCACACAACAGCATGAGCCTCCACACAACAGCATGAGCCTCCACACAACAGCAGGAGCCTCCACACAACAGCATGAGCCTCCACACAACAGCAGGAGCCTCAGTGCAACAGCAGGAGCCTCCACACAACAGCAGGAGCCTCAGTGCAACAGCAGGAGCCTCAATACAACAGCAGGAGCCTCAATACAACAGCAGGAGCCTCAGTGCAACATCAGGAGCCTCCACACAACAGCATGAGCCTCCACACAACAGCATGAGCCTCCACACAACAGCAGGAGCCTCCACACAACAGCAGGAGCCTCCACACAACAGCAGGAGCCTCCACACAACAGCAGGAGCCTCCACACAACAGCAGGAGCCTCCACACAACAGCAGGAGCCTCCACACAACAGCATGAGCCTCCACATAACAGCAGGAGCCTCCACACAACAGCAGGAGCCTCCACACAACAGCAGGAGCCTCCACACAACAGCAGGAGCCTCCACACAACAGCAGGAGCCTCCACACAACAGCAGGAGCCTCCACACAACAGCAGGAGCCTCCACACAACAGCAGGAGCCTCCACACAACAGCAGGAGCCTCCACACAACAGCAGGAGCCTCCACACAACAGCAGGAGCCTCCACACAACAGCAGGAGCCTCCACACAACAGCAGGAGCCTCCACACAACAGCAGGAGCCTCCACACAACAGCAGGAGCCTCCACACAACAGCAGGAACCTCAGCAAATCAGCAGGATTTATTTCCTCTGACTTCCCACTGAGGTCAAGGTGTAACCTGTACCGTAATGTGTAATTTAATAGTTGACCTCACTTGACCTCTAACTGACCGACCCGGGAAACGTCTTCGCTGATTTCACGAAAAGATCAAGGTTGAGGTGAGCCTATCATCGTTTGTAATTAGATAGTGACCTCCAATGACCCTAAATTGACTACCTCATACAATTTAAATACAGTCAAGGTGTTGTTTTAATCAAATATGGATTTATTTTAATAATATGATTATGCACTAAGGAAATAACACATAACAGGATTTTGTTCCTTTCACTGAAAAGAAAAACAAATTATCAAAGTAACTTAAACAGTATTTATTCTTTAAATGTTACATTATTTCATATATATGTGAGTGAAATAATGTATTCATCAATGCGTAGCGTAGCTAACCAGAAGAAGCAACACCTTTGATAATAACAAACAGCCATGAAGCACACACACACACACACACACACACACAAACACACAGAAGAAGGCAGAAACAAATGGGCAAAGTTTCTTTCACCCTGAATGCCCCTGTTACCTAGCAGTAAATAGGTACCTGGGAATTAGTCAGCTGTCACGGGCTGCTTCCTGGTGTGTGTGGTGTGGAAAAAAGTAGTTAGTAAACAGTTGATTGACAGTTGAGAGGCGGGCCGAAAGAGCAAAGCTCAACCCCCGCAAACACAACGAGGTGAATACACATACACACACACACACACACACACACACACACACAAGAAGGAATATAATAACCCATGGTTTAATAGACAGTGTCAGGAAGCAAAAATGGCCAGCAGGCGGGAGTGGAGGAAGTACAGAAGACAAAGAACAGAGGACAACAGAAGCAGATACAACAGAGCTAGGAACGATTACATTAACATAAGACGAACATCGGAAAGGGACTATGAGAACGATATTGCAATCAAAGCGAAAAAACAACCTAAGTTACTACACAGTCATATAAGAAGAAAAATGTCGGTGAACGACCAAGTGACAAGACTAAGGAAGACAGAGGGGGCATATACTGAAAGTGACAAGGAAATCTGCGAGGCACTGAATGCCAGTTTCCATGGAGTGTTCACTACCGAGCCTGAGCAGCTCCCATTGTTGGAAGGGGTTACCCTAGATGAAAGACTATCAGATATAGAGGTGACAGCAGAGGAGGTAATGAAACAGTTGACAACTCTAGATGCAACTAAAGCAGTTGGACCAGACAAAGTATCACCGTGGATACTAAAAGAAGCAGCACAGGCCCTCAGCGTGCCTCTGGCAATGATCTTTAATGAGTCACTTATGTCAGGAGAATTGCCCAGTTGCTGGAAGAAGGCAAATGTCGTGCCGATCTTCAAGAAAGGAGATAGGGAGGAGGCACTTAACTACAGACCTGTATCACTGACAAGCATCCCCTGTAAAATACTGGAAAGAATAATTAGGCTACGACTGGTTGCACACCTGGAGAACATTAGGTTTGTGAACAAACATCAACATGGGTTCTGGACAGGGAAATCGTGCCTAACAAACCTTCTGGAATTCTATGATAAAATAACGAGGATAAGACAGGACAGAGATGGTTGGGCAGACTGCATATTTCTGGACTGCCAAAAAGCCTTTGATACAGTACCGCACATGAGACTGCTGTTCAAGCTCGAGAGGCAGGCGGGGGTGGGGGGAAAGGTCCTAGAATGGATAAGGAACTACTTAACAGGAAGGAGCCAAAGAGTTACGGTAAGGGGCGAGAAGTCGGACTGGCGAACAGTAACAAGTGGAGTACCACAAGGATCGGTGCTGGGACCAATTCTATTTCTTGTATATGTTAACGACATGTTTACAGGCGTAGAGTCCTACATGTCGATGTTTGCGGATGATGCAAAGTTGATGAGAAGAGTTGTGACAGATGAGGATTGCAGGATCCTCCAAGAGGACCTGAACAGATTGCAGAGATGGTCAGAGAAATGGCTACTAGAATTTAACACGAGCAAATGGAAAGTTATGGAAATGGGACTAGGAGATAGGAGACCAAAGGGACAGTACACAATGAAGGGGAACAGCCTACCTGTAACGACGCGTGAAAGAGACCTGGGGGTGGACGTAACACCTAATCTATCTCCTGAGGCACATATTAATAGGATAACGACAGCAGCGTACTCTACACTGGCAAAAGTTAGAACATCATTCAGAAACCTAAGTAAGGAGGCATTTAGGGCGCTTTACACTGCCTACGTAAGGCCAGTCTTAGAGTATGCCGCCTCATCATGGAGTCCCCATCTGAAGAAGCATATAATGAAACTGGAAAAGGTTCAGAGGTTTGCAACGAGACTCGTCCCAGAGCTACGAGGGATGGGGTATGAAGAGCGCCTGAGGGAACTGTGCCTTACGACACTAGAAAGAAGAAGGGAGAGGGGGGACATGATAGGAACGTATAAGATACTCAGAGGAATTGACAGAGTGGACATAGACGAAATGTTCACACGGAATAGTAACAGAACGAGAGGACATGGATGGAAGCTTGAAACTCAGATGAGTCACAGAGATGTTAGGAAGTTTTCTTTTAGCGTGAGAGTAGTGGGGAAATGGAATGCACTTCAGGAACAGGTTGTGGAAGCAAATACTATTCATAATTTTAAAACCAGGTATGATAGGGAAATGGGACAGGAGTCATTGCTGTAAACAACCGATGCTCGAAAGGCGGGATCCAAGAGTCAATGCTCGATCCTGCAAGCACATATAGGTGAGTACATATAGGTGAGTACACACACACACACACACACACACACACACACACACACACACACACACACACACACACACAGTACCGGTGAGCGGGTAGATAGTGATCAGTGAACACGGGGGAGGCGCCACCTCTCCACATGTTTCATGGTTAGAGTTTAGTGCCATGAATAATTCTGATAAAAACATTATTTAGAGGATGAAGAGAAACAGACAGACAGACTTTACAGACGAACCCAACAACTCGGACAGAAAAATCAATTCATACAGACTGGCTATGTAACAAGGGGAAGTGATCAGTCCTTAACTAGAGCAATGAAGCACTGATTGGAATGACTTATCTGCTCCAGGGTGCCGTGAACAGCCAAGCAAAAGCCTTCACCAATCACATACTGAATTCCACAATTTCATTCCTCACCGGCAGTATATACCGAAGCCTCCTGGCCTGGTTGATACCTGGTTGATGGGGTTGTGGGAGTTCGTCTACTCCCCAAGCCCGGCCCGAGGCCAGGCTTGACTTGTGAGAGTTTGGTCCACTAGGCTGTTGCTTGGAGCGGCCCACGGGCCCACATACCCATCACAGCCCGGTTGATCCGGCACTCCTTGGAGGAATAAATCTAGTCAGGCCAGTCATGGCAGCTTAGGCCATATGGTAAAGACCTGGAGGATATATACTAAACATCTTTCTACTCGCAGCAGAAACTTTCATATACGAGCTTGCCAAATAATAAAAGTTCTCGAGTCGGATATCTCTCGGTGGAAATCAGAAAGAAGAATAAAATTTGCATTAGAAAGAGTTGAATGTAGAGTCTGAGGGATCTCTGGTTAAAGATTTACAGATCCAAGGACACAATCCCACCACTACATCGAGATGATAGGAACCTTGCAACCAGTAATCAGGAAATGGCAAAGCTACTGGAAGACCATGTTGTTGCCAAAATGCATGTCCCTGATCCAAAATGACAACCTCCGCAGAGTGATTCAAGCACTGTGTCAAAATTTTCAGCAGTGGCTTAGTAAATAGAAAGAAGTTCAGGACTTCTTTAACTCTATTGACATAGGTATGGTAACGGCCAGGATAAGGTCAGTCCGAGTGTACAAAATATAGAGAACACTGATGATGTTGACATCTTGAGGATGGTGTATGTATCATCAATGACAGTGAAGAGCAATGCGCTCAACCTGTCAGGAAGGCAGTCAAGAAGCGTCCAGCTCTAGAGAGAACATCTCACTCCTCGACAACAAAGTTGCAAATTTCTTCATGTACCCTAGTTCGCTTCCATCTTCAGTATGCACCGCTTTTCTGCTTGGCCTGCACCCCATCATGTATCCGAATTCAGGACAAGATGGAGAACCGTATGAGGAGGTTCATCTCTAGTCTTGAGCCGTTCTGTTTAGACTGGTCAGTAATTAAGAGCCCTCAACAGCGAAGAGATGTTGACAACCATACTATTATGTATGAGGCCACCAATCTCAAGGTTCCTCACCTGTCCCAACCTCGTAGACAATCAGAAGT